TTCCTCTGTCTGGTTTCCTGGCTTTTAATACCCTTTCTCCTGCTCTTCTCGCCTGCTGCTTTGGGCGTCCCTGAGTTGTCTCTCCTCACCTGTATCCCTGGGGCTGACTGCTCTTCTGTCCGGGTTCCTGGCTTTTATCCCCTTTCTCCTGCTTTCCCATCCTGCTGCTTTGGGTGTCCCTGCGTTGTCTCTCCTCACCTGTAACCCTGGGGCTGACTTATAGTACCTTCTATTTTACTTCTTATTAACTAACATTTGGTTTCGTTGTTGTCTGTGTACTCAGCTGGCTCTCCTTCCACCCTGTGAATTCCTCCAGGGCTGATCTATATATTCTTTTAGCTTTATGTTGACAGCACATGTACCTGAAACTTACTAGGCACCCAAGGTACATAAGTATTTGCAGAGTATTTAAAAATAAGGAGTCCTAGTTGCATGGTGTTTACTGCTCAGCTACTGATGAAAAGATCCATAGGAAAAAAGGATTACAGCCCTGGAAATCCTGTGGGGCAGTTCTACTTTGTCATATCATGTCACTCTGAGTCAGGATCAACTCAACAGGAACAGGTTTGAACAGGTATATAGAAAATGGTTGCATGATTGTGTTTAAATTAGGAAGGTATCAGTAAACATCATTGATACTACTCAATCAAGAAATACTTACATCAGTGAAGTTAGAACATATTTAGGAAAGTCAAGGTGAAACATCAAAAGAGTACAGAGTTGCTTGGGGCCTTTGAACTTGTTAGTCCCTCTATCTAATGGCTTCACCCCACCCATCTCATAACTGTCTCCTTCTCATTCATTAGCTTCTCAGAGAGGTTCCCTGACCACCTACCTGAAAGAGCTCCCTTTCCTCCCATTAGTCTCATGATCTATAATTATTTTACTTGTTTGTTTGTTTGCTTATTTATTTATTTAATGTCTTTTTCCTGCTTGAATAGAAGCTCATAGAAGGAAGGGATGATCCTTACCTCTTTCACTATTGTATTTCCAGTGCCTGTCACAAAGAAAAAGCACAATATATGTCTGTTGGATAAGTTTATAGGGTACAGGATCTTGGATCTGAATTATCAATTAAGAAATCTCTCTCTTCCTGTTCTGTAGTTTGAGAACTTTATCACATACTTGGCACCTCACACTAAAGAGACACACCTTCCAGTTTGCCCTGCATTGAGGGGTCTTCTGGGACTCAGGACTTGTCAGTGCTAGAATGGAACAGTCCTGGGAAAACTGGAACAGCTGGTCACCTTATCTGACATGTAGCAGTTGCTTACTGCTTTGGGCTTTTAAAAGCCCTTTCATACTTGTTAGCTCTCCTGATTATTAAAACCACATGTAAGTAGGGTATATGATAAAGCCTGATGTCACTGTTTAACACATGAAAAGAAACTGAAGCCCAGAAAGAGTAAATGATTAGGTTTTCTTATTCCTGCTTGTAAGTGTTTACCATCAATCAAGAAAATAATGTTGACTCAGTGCCTAACACATAGTAGGTACCAATACATGCTTTTACAGATTTATAATGTTCTCAAGATATGAGGTTGATAATTAGGGCCTGGGACACGAAAGATGGAGTTTATAAAATGAGAATAGTGCCTATGCCCATCTACTTCCTCAGAAAATTTAAGAGGAAAGAAGATAAATAAAACAATAAAATAATGTTATTTTAGCTTCCTGGAGAAAGGATATATGAGAAATTGATAGAAAGTGGACCTTCACTTTTCAGATTATTAGCACTTGCTGTGTGTAGGCACTATGGGAGTAAAATAAAGTGCAACCAGCTTTCCCATTAAGGAACTTAAGATCAGGTTAAGTTTCTTATTTTTATTTCAAAGGAAAAATCAGGTTAAGTATTTGGGAAAATCTTTGGAACAGTTTTTTTTTCCTTTCAGGCAGTCTCCAACTTTCATATCATTCTTGAACATAATTAAAGTCAGAAGTTTCAAAGTTGAATGGATGAACTTGGAGGACATTATGCTGAATGAAATAAGTCAGTCACACACACACACACACACACAAAACAAACTCACTGCCATCGAGTTGGATCCAACTCATAGCGACCTCTCCTTGGGTTTCCAAGGCGGTATCACTACAGAAGTAGATTGTCCAATCTTTCTTCCGAGGAGTGGCTGGTGGATTTGAACCACCAGCCTTCTGGTTAGCAGTCAAATGCTTTAGGCACTACGCCACCAGAACTCCTAAGTCAGTCACAGAAGGACAAATATAGTATTAGTTCATTATTGTAAAAAGTCAAGGAAGGGTTTATATGTGGAAGGAAATTTTCTTTGTTGGTTACCAAGGGTGGGAAGGGAGGGGAAGGAACACTGTGTTGGGGGGAAATGCATTGACCCATGTCACTTTAGTTTTGTGTATTTCACTGTACATAAATTATATTTCAATAAAATGTATTTTTAAAAAAAAGTTGCAAAGTTGATATACTATTCCTAGAGAATAAAGAATATAAATTCATATCCATGCTACCTGACAAAGAACAGTCACTGGTGCTGATATCCTCCAGCTTCCTCCTGCGTCCTATCCCTGTGCCGTGCATTTTACAGGAAGCACAAGCTGTGACCCAGGCCCTTAGACTAGTCTTTTGTCTTAGATCAAGCCTAGGCCCGTATCTCTCTTTCCCATGTACCTTTTCCATTCTTCAACCCTATGCAGGGATTGTGGCAGCCTTAGACCTCATTCCATCATTGCACTAGGTAGCTGGAACACAGCTGAGTGGGACCACTGCCTACTATCCCTTCTAGTGGGCACTTAGCCATTCTGCTGCTTGAAATTTAGTGCTCTTGTTCCTCCTCATACTTCATCACTCCCCCACCCACAAAGAGTGCTAGTGAGGTGAAGAGATGAGAGGGGAGGGGAGGAGAGGAGAGGAGGTGGCAAGGAACATCTACACTGGAAGGAACACCTAGGTCCAGCTCCCACTTCCAGCCTTCTTCCAGCATTCTGCCTGGGCTTACATGGATAACTCCACCTGCAGTCACAGTCCTATCCCCTTGTAGCAGAAACCCAGCCCTTTTCCCCAGATAAATGGGTATGTAATGTATGAGAGTGCCAATTGTTTAAAAAAAAAAAGGCACAGAATTTTTCAATTTTCAAGAATAGTGAAAGAAACTGCTCTTTACATTGGAGAACATCCTTTCCTGGCCATAAAGGATGAAGGCTGACTGTTTCATCTTTAAGAATTTAAGCTATAATTAAATTAGGGTGAAGGAGAAAATCAGTATCTTTAGAAACAAGGGACTAGTTTACAAGTAATACTGTGGTAAATAATTATTTGAGTGTTGTTTTATTGCATAAATGCACAGTAAGAACAACCCCATTCTAAACGTTGCTGACTAATAAAAAAAAACCATCATTCCTAAGTTCAGGTAAACCTCAACTTACAATGTATTCAAGTTACAGTGGACCACATTTACTACCATCTGTTTGTTGGTTTTTTTTTTTTAAGAATTTGTGTAATTTTTTATGTATGTATTTTGTATAGAATACATCTGTAAGTTTAGATGTAATGCTTTTAATCCCTGAAGACAAATAAAGGTCAAATTGTAAAGATACTGATAGATAAAAGGCAATAATAATGAAAACTAAATAAAAATGAGGTATTCAACTTATGTTAAAACCCATGTAAGAACGGAACCCTTTCATAAGCCAGGGAGTTTCCAGCTTTCCACTAAAAATTGGTTCTTAGTATGAGAAATAAGAAGGACTAGAACAGTGGATAAAAAACTAAGTTTCGAGATTTGCTTACAGCCAATGCTTTTTCAGTAGCTGTGTTCTTAGTATTCCTGATGAAACAAAAAGTTTAACCTGTAGACAGTTTACTTAAAAAGAATAACTCCCTACTTCAGGAAATTACAGGCTTATCCAGCATATCTCTCTATAATGTTTATTTCTTTTTAATAGTTTTCAAGTTGATCTCAAAATATTTAAATAAAACTTATTTCAACTTACAGTCTTCAGTCTGCTATATTTGGTACTATGGTCAGTAGTTTAAAAGGCAGTTCTGTTATTTCTATGTCAGTGCTCAGGTAAATGTGTATTTTAATTAAGTCTTTCTTAATTCTGCAGGGGGAACACACCTGAAACTAGAGGAACGGCTTATGTGGTCTATGAAGATATTTTTGATGCCAAGAATGCATGTGATCACCTATCAGGATTCAATGTTTGTAACAGATACCTTGTGGTTCTGTACTATAATGCCAACAGGGTAAGTATAGTCAAGGTCCTTGTTGATGGTGAGCTCATTTAAAAATTAGTGTGGACAGAGAGGTGCACAAGAGGTACAGACAACAAAGATAAATCCTTTTACATATACAATACTGTTGTCAGTGATAACAAACATTAATCTGCAGGTAAATAGATGGCCCCTTCTTACCTTTCAGGTCTGGAACTGAACTCACTCTTAGGCTTCCAGCCAAACATTAGATAGGCATATGGGGTGAACATTTACATCAGGTAGATACACTCCTTAGAGCAATCAATTATGGGAGAACAGAAGGGCAGTGTTTGCACAAGAAGATAGCTCAGGGGGCAGGAATATATAGGAAAGACGGACACAGGAAAGAGGTGACTCTAGAAAGGAAGTGAGAAGGGAGCTGTTAAACTGCAGGGAATTGTAGTCAATGTCATGAAACAAAATGCATATGAATTGCTGTATGGAAAATGAATTTTCCCTGTAGACTTTGACTCAGATCACAATAAAAAATGAAAAAAAAATTAGTGTAAAACTGAACCATGATGAGAAATGTCTGTTGTGGTTCCCCCACACACACCCTCACCCCAGTATGCTATTGAGAAATTCTTTTGGTTGTAGATCACTATTAACTTTGGCACTTACCGTTTGCAGGCATTTCAGAAGATGGATACAAAGAAGAAAGAGGAACAGTTGAAGCTTTTGAAGGAGAAATATGGCATCAACACTGATCCACCAAAATAAAGACTGTTTTTCTGTTCTGCATTTTCATTTTGGACTAAAATCCATGTATCACCACCACAGCTTTTTTTCTTTTTTTTAATTATTGTCATTTTGTATTCGAAACTCAAAATGACCTACTTGAAACTTTGATACCTGTTGTTGTTGTTGTTATGTGCCGTCGAGTCAGCCCTGACTCATAGCGACCCCTACCCGAGGCAGTATCACTACGGAAGTAGGATTGCCCAACCTTCCTTCCGAGGAGTGGCTGGTGGGTTTGAACCGCCAGCCTTCTGGTTAGCAGTCAAGTGCCTTAGCCACTATGCTACCAGAGCTCCCTTGATACCTGTTAGAATGTGTTATGTTAATAAACTTGTAGTTTTTTAACATATCAGTGTTTGCTCTTGAACTTATTTTATTTATTTTATATATTTTAACATATCAGTGTTTGCTCTTGAACTTTCCTCTTACTTTCCAATTAACACCTTTTTGAATATGGGAACATTTGTCCTTAGAATAGGAACTCTGGTGGAGCAGTTGTTTACCACTCAGCTGCTAATTGAAAGGTAGGAGTTTGGAAACCCTCCCCCAGCTGCTCCGTGGAAGAAAGATGAGGCAGTCTGCTTCCATAAAGATTTACAGCCATGGAAACGCTGAGGCAGGTTCACTCTGTCTTGTAGGGTCACTGTGAGTCAGAATTAACAGCCAGCAATGAGTTCTAATGGAGTTCCTGGGTAGTGCAAATGGTTAATGCACTCTGCTACTAACCACATGGTTGGAGGTTCAGAGACATCACGAAAAGAAAGCCTGGTAAATCGGCCATTGAAAACCCTGTGGAGCATGGTTTTACTCTGACACACACGGTCGCCCTGAGTAGGACTCAGTTCCACAGCAACTGGTTTATCTACAACAGAGGTCTGCTCTAGAAATGGCCATTCTGATAGCGCATCGTTAGAATTTTGGGAGCAAGCCGTTTGGATGGTTGTGTGGGTTGATAAATGTCCAAGACACTGTTTATGATGTAGCCTTTAGTTACATTTTGGACCTTAGCTCCCAGTACATCTTTGACATAAAAACTTTGCTTAATCATAATCATGGGCTCCCATGGCATGGAAATATGGTTATTACAGTCATCATAGCTGGCAGTTCATAGTTTAGGCATGGGCCAAGTGGAAAAACATGTACTAATTGTTTTGTATATAATTATAACCCAAAATCAATTTGAAGGGTACATGCACCAAATCATTTAAATGGACGGAGAGCATCTATTTTACTTTCAAATACATTTAGCTCTGAAATTTTTTTTACTTTAAGAAAATAGGCTACTTTATGCTTTTTTTTTTTTTTTACAGTCTGCTCAAAACCTATTACAAATGAAGAAGTGTTTTATTTACTGTCTGAGCTTTTTCTTTTCCCCCTTAAATACTGTCTTTTTGGTGAATGTTTACACAGTAGTTTAGGAGTACAAAGATTCATTGCTAGGAAGGACGGGCAGATGGGAAAAGGGCCACAGCTATAATTTCTTGTGAATGCTATGAATTCCTTATTTTTATAATATGTGTGTGTAGGTGTTTACAAATGTAAAAAGAATTTTCTGAAAGACTTCATAGGGGAAAACAAATTAGACATACTGTCATTTGTCTAAGTAGCAGCCTATTTGCCTCTAACATAAATGTAATAACTAGGAATGGCCATTCTGATGTAGTGCCTAAGGCATTTGACTGCTAACCAGAAAGTTGGCGGTTCAAACCCACCAGCCACTCCTCAGAAGGAAGATTGGGCAATCTATTTCCAAAGTGATAACGCCTCGAAAACCTAAGGGGGGGTCACTATGAGTTGTATCCAACTCAACGGCAGTGAGTTAGTTTCTTGTTTTTTTTTTTTTTTTTTTTTTTTTTTTTTTTTTTTTTGGTTAACTGTTGTCATGTGCCGTCTAGTCAGACCTGACTCGTAGCGACCCCTCCTTGGGCTTCCGAGGCAGTATCACTATGGAAGTAGATTGCCCCATCTTAACTAGGGGGAGAATAAAGCTCTGGTGGTGTAGTGCCTGAGGCACTTGACTTCTAACCAGAAGGCTGGTGGTTCAAACCTATCAGCCATTCCTTGGAAGGAAGACTGGGTGATCTACTTCGGTAGTGATACTGCCTCGGAAACCCAAGGAGGGGTTACTATGAGTTGGAGACAACTCGACAGCACATAACAACAACAACAACAACAGGAGGAGACTCTACTGACAATTAGGGCTGGTCCATCATTTGGATTAATGTATTTGTTAGCTGAATTTTATAACCTAAAGTTAAGAGTCCAAAAAATTCCCTCTAGACTAGAAAATGATAACAAACTCTGTGGAAAGCAGTATGGCAACTCCTTAAAAAGCTGGAATTAGAAATACCATTTGACCCAGCAATTCCCATTACTAGGTATATATTCTGAAGAAGTGAGAACCAGGACAAGAACAAATATATGCATACCCATATTCATCACAGCACTATTTACAATAGCAAAAAGATGGAAACAATGTACATGCCCATCAACAGAAGAATGGATAACCAAACTATGGTATATACACACAATGGAATAGTATGCAACCCCAAAGAATAATGTACATTCTGGAAAACACTGCATAATGTGGATGAACTTGGAGGACATTATGCTGAACAAAATAAGTCAATCACAGAAGGACAAATATTATTTGGTAATTGTAAAAAGTCAAGGAAAGGTTCATGTATGGAAAGAAATTTTCTTTGTAGGTTACCAAGGGCAGGAGGGGAGGGGAGGGAACACTGTTAGATAGAGACAAGTATTGATTTGGGTGAAGAGAAGGGCCATGTACCAAATGTGAGTGATCAGCACGGTGGCACTGAGGAAGAGGAAGACGGGTGCATGGGAGGTACAGAAACGAAGATGAACTCCTTTGCACATACAGCACTGTGTTGTCAGTGAAGGCAAACATTGATCTACACGTGAATAGAAGGATGGACAGGCTGAGCTACTAGGCATGTCTACTCAGGGGGGAGTGTGCCGAAGACCATGTATAGGGTTGGCAGACAATGTTTCTACAAGTGTATTGGTAATTTCTGTAAGAATTCCTAGGTGTATAGTAGAGCTGACAAGGGACAAGTTTGTAGTTACTTCTTGGCCACAGCCAGTTACGCAGAGGGAGCAAGTAGTTGGACCTGAGGCTCAGAACCATAGTTGCAGGGGACATCAGGGTCAATTGGCATAACATACTACACAAAGACATTGTTTCACATCCTACTTTGGTGAGTAGTGACTGAGACCTTAAAAGCTTGCAAGGACCACCTAGATACAAAGATGAGTCTCTCTTCATCCAGAGCAAAGAAGAATGAAGAAAACCCAAGACACATGGAAACAATTAGTCCATGTGATCCTCAGCCTATACAACTACAAGACCAGAAGAACTAGATGGTGCCTGGCAACCACTGTCAACCACTTGGAGGGGGAACTATGTAGGAGATCCTGGATGGAGTGGGAGAGCAGTGTGGAACAAAACTCAAAAGTAAAAAAAAAAAAAAAGACCAGGTTTGTGGGTCTGATAGAGCCTGATGAGACCCCTGAGACTATAGCCCTCAGTTACCCTTCAAG